ATTGTTTATCTAAGTTGTGTTACAAGCATGGTGAGGTTGTAACAGAATACACAAATAACTGTATTCAATCCGCGCCGTATTTGAAAACTGTAATGAATTTAAATCAATGTTTAACGACGTAATATAAGTTAAATATATTGTTAAGCTAATTACTGTTTTATTGTGAAGGCGTCTCTGGTGAACAGCGGCCTGTGGCTTTTATTTTGAAAGGCCGTTCCGGAAATATACTCCGTAATATGAACAGTGAGTTTGACTTCTAGAAACACGAAAAGTTACGATGGCAATCGTTCTAATGCATTAACTAAAGTCATGAAAGAGACAAGGAGGGGAAAAGGCGTGTGGAAGTAAGCAATGAACTGAAAATGCCACCAATCCTCTGTTTTAACGTGAAAAACCGAAGCGGGCACACAGTACCCCTGTCATACATACACATTAATAGATTCCTTCTGACTGACAAGCGTTCAAAAACCCTTCTGCTTATCACTAACTACTTTTTGTTTTATTCATAACCTAAAAATACAATTGTGGTGAATAGCTTTAAACAACCATCAAATGAGAGTCACTTTGTATGATAAATACTACTCCCAAATAACATTTATAATATATATATATTTCTTACAGTGAGTTCGTTATTTCATGTCTAACAAATTATCCTCTGTCTATGTCTAATCTAGGTGGAATCCACTATTATATTTAATTTGTATAGACATTAATCTTTCTAGGTACGTCATATACTCAGTGAACCACTTTTTACTTTCCCTTAACGTTACTGTATGTAATATAATTTTTTCCTTGAAATATAATTAAGTACAATTCTCAGTTAATGACAAATACCACGAAATTCACAATGCAATGCAATAGTAACAATCAGTTCTCAAAACTTCTCATAAAAACCACAATGTGACGTAACTGTATCCCACAAAAACTATGCTAAAAACAACAAATTATAGTTTCTTATTTATTTCAATATCTACCACCTCAAATCACACATTGATCCATTCATTTTCAATTCACTCCAACTTCAGATCAGTCGTTGATTATTCACTCCTTGTTTTAAACCCACTCCCTTTTCTTCAGGCATCAAAGAAGAGAGCAAGCAGACACACTCCGGGCTGCTGCTCTCCCAATTAGAGCCGCATCGAGAGAAAAGGGGGGGGGCTCCCATTGAAATCCGTTCATTTCAATGGCTTTTGAAGGTCCCGTTTCTCCTCTTGGATTTTTTACATATAACGCACCTCCAGCTCCTATGAGCCTTGGATTTGTTATTCTGATTAGTCACGGATGGAGACTCAATACTACCATTTGACTCCCCCAGGAAGTATAGCTTTGTGAGGACTCAATACCGTCACTTAAGCTAGGGACTCTATACCCTTCAGCCGTCCGAGACTCAATACCCGACGCTGAAATACTTCACTGCTTCACTGCTTCACTTGTAGCTAACGAGTTAGCCATATGATTCTGAAAAATCTACGAAGCTTTTAACCGTTGCTTTATTTATTTTATAACTTACCTACCTATACTAAAATATGTATTGTATGTTTTACCGCGACTAAGAACACTGAGAACGCAGCTGACAACTCTAAAATTTTGTAGCAAAGCCAAATCACAGATTTTGGTAATCAACAGGTATCTGTTTTACCTTTGTATCATGTAGGACGCCCTGGTGTAGTTGTCAGTGGTGTCCAGGTGTCCTCCCCTGGACTGAATTCCGTCCGCTGGCTGTCGGTGGTCCTTCTAGAGACCAGCACTCATCACGTCGGAGGTCACCACACTGTTCAACACTTCATTCTGCTTCACTCTTTAACTAAACAACCGCGGATGTCTTGAAAGACTCTTTCGCTAAAGATTTTTGAAGACACCCGTGTTCTTGTGACACGTAAATACTATGCTTCCTATGTTTTGGTGCGGATTGTGTTCACATCAGCAATGAACCGCTCCAGAGTTCGCAAGCAAGCGCTCTGAGACCACCTATTTTAGCGGACCAGAGTCCGATTGTTTAGTTCACTTCAGAGGTCTTGGACTGTGTTCACACCAACCCAAATGAACCGCACCAAGCGGCCAAACGCACCAGGGTTAGATTCAACCGGACTATAAAAGGCTGGTGTGAACGCACCCGAAACGTATCTTGGTGAGAGAAAAAATAAAAAATCTGTAAAGTTATCAAAGAAAACTGCCTAGTTTCAGTAAAAAGTGTTAAAATCACAAAAGTGTTTTTGACCAGCAAAGTCATCAAAAACTACATTGTTTAACCGAAAAGGTGATAAAATCAAAAACTTACATTTTAGAGAAACAGTCCTTAAGAAAATCTATTCAGACAATGTACTTCATTTTCTAGTTTTAAGGTTTTGCATACCTCAAAGTGTATTTAAAAGTATCTATGTAGCAGAAAAAAGAAAAAATCAGTAAAGTCATCAAAAACGACATTGTTTAACTGGATTGTTTTACTTAAATCAAAAACTGCTATTATGAGTCACATTCTTAAATAACATCGATTTAGACAAAGTATTTCATTTTTATAGTTTTAACTTTTTGCACACATAAACGTGTATCTTACAGTTCCTTTGTGAGAGAATTACGCACACATCTGTCATCTCAAAACATTCTATTGCAGTATTTTATCTGTTTTATTTGTCTACGTCCTATATATATATATATATGTTGCAGACTTGCAGTGTTGGAGGAGCCTGTGACCTATGTTTTTCAATGCCATATCTACACTGTAGCTAATGTGCAGATGACAACTTGAAATTATCAAAACTGCATTGTCTCACTGAAAAAGCCCTAAAAATCACAAACTGCCATTAAAGAAACCCAATTCCTTACAAAGTACTTAATATTCTACCAGTTGTAAAGTGTTGCTCACTTCAAAGTGTATCTAAAAGTATCTTAGTAACACAAACAAAGCAAAAAGCATTAATGTTAACAAAACCTCAAATGTCGCCCTAACATGGCATTTGGACTATTTTCATCATCCAGGGAAACACACCGGTAAATACATCTCTCTATGTCTGCTCCAAGAGCGGACTCATGAGCTCCGTAATGTCCCCCTAACATGGCACTTATGGCGCATTTCCATTGCAGAGCCTCACTCGGCTTAGTACGGTATAGTTAGGCTTTGTTAGGCCTTGGTAGGCCAGCCTCACTTTATGCTGCGTTTCCACTACAGTTTAGTAGCTGGGGCAGTAACTATAGTAACGCAGTGTAGGCGGAGCCGTGACATCATCTTCAATGAGAGCCCCAGAAAAACAACACAGCCGTTAGCTCTTAGCACTCAGAGCTCACAGCTCCTCATATCTGTTCAGAAACTAGACACAAGTTAAACAAGTACAAACCACAGACTGTCTGTGTCATGGTGAATACAGTCGCTGGTTTATTTATGTCTGTAGGCCGTTGTTGTGAGTGTGGACGGTCGGAGCATATACTGCGTTAGCTTAGCCAATCTCCATTTAGAAAACACGCATTTTAAAATGGTTTTTCGCCTGCAGACTTGTCAAAGCATTAATTCATGGTTTTTACTAACCGGTATCAGTATGTTGTTACTTCGGCATCATTTTGAAACGTGTATTACAATTAAATCACGGTCAAATATGTTCATTTTGTTGTAGTTGCATACATGCCAACCTTTCCAAATCCAAAATAGGTAGGTTTGTCACAGGCCGAACCCAAACCCTTGTAATGGAGTCCTATTGGCAAGGGGTGGATTGTCAGAGATGGGGCCATTCAACCAGTGCTATTTACAAAACCCCCAGCACCTACAGAAGTGAGAGACATTACTCACTTGTATTGCAAAGATGCAAAGTGTGGAGAGAGTGGAAAGTGCCAGTGCCTCTCTGTTGGCCTTCCCTGTACGGAGTTCTGCACCTGCTGTGCAGAATGTCAACATGTGTCCCAACGTTTCTGAGGAACCTGACATTTAACATTATATTCTAGTACTTGACCTCTCACAGAATTATTTGATGATTTGTATACTGTACTTTGAATTAAGGTTCCAGTTTCAATACAACCTACTATTTACATCTATGTTTTAGAGGCTTGCAATTTAGAACTAATACACTTGATTGTATTGGGTTACTCTTATTCTGACTATTTGGTGATGTAGTTCAGCCACCTGGTATTTCCCTCTCCAAATATAATGACCATCAGAGTGAGCATTCTTAACTTATAGGCTATTGTGCCACTTATCCCCCATTCGGAGTTTGACTGTATCAGAGAAGAGGTAGGCCTGTCTAAAGAAATCTCATTTGCAATAGAACTGTACCAGATATGTCCATACAACTACTGGTTAGTGTTCAATAGCACCTACTGGTTAGTGTTCAATAGCACCTACTGGTTAGTGTTCAATAGCACCCTAGACAATTCAGTAATGGTATATGTTTTAGGGATTTCTTTTTTTCTGATAAATGAGAGAAAAGTGATGGAGTCCTATGTTCCTATCACCAAAAAGTACAATTTCCGTCTAAACTAAAGCTACGTTTACAGGACTATAATTCAGTATTTCTTTAGTTAAATTATTGTCTGACTATTTGGTGATGTAGGACAGCCACCTGGTTCATACCTCAGCAAATCTGAAGATGAAAAGAGTGGTCATTCTCAAGTTATGGGCTTTTCTGTCACCTTTCCCACATTCGGCCTGGTCTAATTTGGCTCTTTTTCAGGGATTGGGGTAGTTCTAAAGAACAACCAAAAAAACGTTTTTTTTCCCCGAAATACAATTTGACAACAATCAATTTCATTAATGGGAGACCCTAAAGATAAGAAAAATCATTGTTGTGTTTTGTTCTACCTCGGGTAGGGGTATCTCAAATACTAAAGCCTTCTTTGAGGACTTGCTGCTGGACTGTAGCTGTACCTCATGCTCAAGGTTGTGTCTGATGGCTGACTGTTAAACATTGGAATAGGACTCTGTTAGTTGAAAGTCTGTCCTAATGTGAAGGCCGTGTGAGGGCAGGGTCTGTTGCATTGATTTCTGTTACATTATGTTTTTTTGTCTGTTTCTATAGGAAGTGGATATGGACATCACTGTTTCCTATGCTGACAAGAAAGTGTTCCTGCAGAATAACCGATCGGAGTAAGACGTTTTGTTGGTTTTTAAAAACCGACTGAATTTCAAACGACCTACTTACAGACTGAAACACATGCATACTATTTTAATCTGTAATTAAATTCAGCATGAACAGGCAGGAAGACATACTAACGGTGTCAGTATGTTCAAATCAAACTGATTGTCCTGAATTGCACACTCCGGAAGGAGAGGTGAGGAAGAGTGGTCTTTAGAGGAGGGCTGTGTTCAGTCACTGGTCACATGGAGAGAGCCACATCTCCAAAGGCATTCATTGGGCACACAACCAGGTTCTTCTAGAGGACTTTGAAACAAAGCTCTTTCACACATCTGGCCATTTTTGCTCTTCCATCGGCCTGAGTGTTGGATTGCAGTTTGTTGCCAGTGAGCTACAGAAATGTTCTTATGCAGATTAAGCAGTTCTGTATAAATACCACAATACCAACTCCACTACATCAGCTCTGTGTGCTCAGTGTGTGATTATCCTCCTCTCTAGGATCTACGTTCTACAGGCTGAGTTTTCCTCACAAAACCAACCGGTAAGATGTTTTCATTATGTGTAGAAAGTGTTTTTCATGTGTCCGACCAACAAGACATCCTGTCCAACTCCTTCAAAATATAATAGCTGGATCCTTCCTTTGACCATGACACATGTAATCAGCATACACACTGCAAGTCTGTTTGGATAAAATATGGAATTAGATTGGGGTTCAATTAGCTCTCCCTCTTTTTCCAGCATCTGGATCAGGCACAACTGGATTTTATCAGAGAAGCTGTGGAGAAAATAGGAATTCCCAAAGTCCTGTCTGGTAAGTCCAGAGAAATACAAATATAAAAAGTGAAACCTGTCTTAAACCTTGTCCGATTCAATCCACCATTGTAAAGCATTATTCTAAAATGAAAAGATAACTGGCAATGTATCATTTTAAAATAAAAAAGGATATTTAAATTACTTATTTAACAAGCAAGACAAGTACTCATATGATTTTCCAATGCCCTTTATTGTACATTCATTACTGTATAGATTTTTAAACTGAGCACTTTGCTGGATTCCTTCAAACAAATGTCTCCTTGCAGCTGATTTGGACTTCAATATCCTTAAATGTATTTATTTTCTGTTGGCTGTTGCTAATCCGGTAGTAAACCTGTGTTTTGTGCTATAGTAGCAGCAGTAGTTGTGATACCATTGAAACTAATCATCTTTAACAGCACTGCCAAGCTTGAGTCAACTTACAGCAAAATGCAGTTCAGGGAACTAAGTGGAACCTGTAAAGGCTACATATCATATACCTAGAGAAGAGGTACAGTGGTGTGTAAAGTGATGTGTGTTCTATGATATTTCTGTGGCATGTCTTGCAGTGTTTGAGACAGAGGTAACCAGGCTTCTGGACGAACAGGGAACTTACCTGTTTGACATCTTCAGCCCGGAGGTGCTTCCTCAGGAGGTGAGTGTTCTCTGGACCTTCATCTCCTCATCCTCTGTGTTTTAATCACATCGCTTCTCCCCTTTCCCTTCCTCTTTCTGTGCTGAAGGGCTTCACGGTGATTCAGATGGATTTTGGTTTCCCTCATCACCTGCTGGTGGAGTTCCTCAGAAGGACACTACAGTAACTAAGCAACCCTTTGGCAAAATTAGACATTTTCATGTTTGTCTCAAAGTGCTGCTCCTATAAAAATGTACCCTTTAATGTGTAAGCTATGCAAAAACAATGATGTTGCATTTTTATTTTGGCCATATTGTTTAGATAAAATGTAGATATTAATGGTTATAATAAGATTTCCCTGATGTTCATTACCATAAAGAGTAAATCATTGCTAAAAAGGAAAGTACTACTGATTTTAATACGTTGATTCAGTCTAATTTTCTATTATTAACAAACAAAAAACAGACATGTATATTACATTTTTGTAAGTGTAGGAGCCATGAAACGTGTTTAGTATTGCCTCTTGTTTTAATATAAGATATTTGTTTGAGCACAATTGATTGGTTGGCTTGGGTCACATGGATATGGGCGGCACTCATTATAATCCTGTTAACCTGCGTGAGGTGTGTGTGGAAGAGAGGGTGACACAGGGCCGTTGTACTTCTTGTTGACCGCAAATTGAAATTATTGTTCTGATTAATATAACAATATACATGTCCAAGGAGAATAAGTTGATCATCCCAGTTTTCACATTATTTTGCAACAGAGTTTTTGATCTAAGCAAGTACTTTTTTGTAGCGTGTCACACAATATCAAACACAATCAGCAGGTATATATGTGTTTATAAAACGGACAAGTCAAATCAAGCAATCTGATTGGTTCCTAGCCGTGATATACTGAGCGTATACCACGGGTAGAATTGTAGTTACTTTTCACAACAAGTCAGTGTCCCTCCGCGTCTGAGAAAAACTGTATACAGTTGGGCTGAAGTTTGCTTTTCGAACTGGGACAAGAAAGCAGCGGAGAAGTAACGGGGCAGAAACCCTCCTTTTTACGCAGCGGTCCAGACATAGACATCAAACAGCATAACATATTCAGTGTGCAGTTCCTTTGGCATTAGGGCAGGGATATCGAGATACTTTCCAAGGTTTGACATCATGAATTGTGCTACTTTGAAAGCAAGCAACAATGTTTTCAAATCTGTAATCAAAGAGGTCCGCAAAAACGCTATCGACCAATCAGATTGCTTGATTTGACTTGTCCGTTTTATAAATATATTTACATTTCTTCCGTTACGAAACAAACTTACAAAGCATAAGATGGAAACATTTAAGATGAACTAAAATGATGAGCGTTAGTGGCCACAGGTGAGAAAGCTCTCTCCAGAGCTACTGGAAGCCCAATCTCGGGGACCGGAGAAAGTGGAGCAATATTCTCACCACGCCAAGCAACAGCCTCGAGCAGGGGTCGGCAACCTTTTTTATTATTTTTTTAAACAATATGTTTATTAATTTTTCATTCTTTTAAACAACACCATCCCTTACAAAACTTACAACAAAACATTCAAATAAAACAAATGATGTGAAAAACAGAGACAAAGAAAAGACATTACAAAAATTAAATTGAAATATAAAATATATAATAAAATTAAGAGACATTAATGAAATTACATTTTAAAATAAAATAAAATTGGGCAGTAGCAACATTATCCTAAAAAGTGTACATAGTCACAGCAGTTTAAGAAGTACTTTACTTTCCATTCAATCTCATGGATTCCCATTGTTATTTCTTAGCATGTTTTACACATTAACATCACCTAACAGTTGAGTAAACGGGCCCCAAACCCTATCATAGGTTTCATTTTTCCTTTTCAGAATATACGTTATCTTCTCCATAGAACAGCAATTACTCATTTCCCTCAGCCACATGTGGCCTCTGAGTGTTCTTCCATGACAAGGCAATCGAGCGTTTTGCTTGGAGTAAACACATGTTTATGAGATTCTTTTTATTCTTTGTTATGACTGGGGCGGATTCAAGCGGCCGAGATGGGTTTTCTCTGCAGGGTGGCTGGTGTCTCCCTTAGGGATAAGGTGAGAAGTTCGGTCATCAGAGAGGGACTTGGAGTTGAGCCGCTCCTCCTTCGCGTCGAAAGGAGCCAGTTGAGGTGGTTCGGGCACCTAGTTAGGATGCCACCTGGGCGCCTCCCTAGGGAGGTGTTCCAGGCACGTCCAGCTGGGAAGAGACCAAGGGGTAGACCTAGGACCAGGTGGAGGGATTATATCTCTTCACTGGCCTGGGAGCGCCTTGGGATCCCCCAGTCAGAGCTGGTTGATGTCGCCAGGGAAAGGAACGTTTGGGGCTCTCTGCTGGAACTGCTACCCCCGCGACCCGACCACGGATAAGCGGGAGAAGATGGATGGATGGATGGATGACTGGGGTGGAGGGGTAAAGTCCTAAAATAAACCATTTAGGATCAAGAGGTATCTTAACATCTAGCATTTTGTGAATTATTTGTGAGATCTCGTACCACAAAGTTGCAATCTCTTTGCACTCCCACATGCAGTGGAAAAGTGTGCCTTTAGACTGTTCACACTTAGTACATATATCTGGAATGTTATTATTAAACTGATGTAATCTCACAGGTGTTATGTACGTGCGCATCAACCAGTTGTGTTGTAGCAATCTTAATCTGGTATTCGCAGTTTGCCTATGTGCCTCAGTACATATCACACCCCCGTCACCCAAGGAAATATCCTCCTGTATATCTCCCTTCCAGGCGTTAAGCCGGTCGGTAGAGGATTCAGTGGAGTTAAAAACCAACAAGTCATGTAGCACTGAAATAAGCCTTTTCCCATGACAATGATCAGAGATCAATCATTCCAGTTCAGAAAGTGGTGGGGGAGTTAATAACTGTTTGCGGGATGCAGTTATAAAGCTTTGTACCTGTAAGTATTTATAAAAACTGCTATTTGAAAGGCCAAATTTAGTACTTAACTGTTCAAATGAAACATATCTCCTATTTTTGTTAGACCTTTCGTTGCCCAATGATGGAAACCTTGCTCCATTCTTCCTGGTTTAAATTGTTCATTTCCCCAGATTGGGCTAAAACGGGACATTGATGATTTTTCCCTTAGCACATCTTGAATTTTATACCAAACATTGATCAATACAAATGGTTTGATGTTTGTTCCCTGAGCTTTTTGACATTGGCAGAATACATGTATGAGTTAAGTGGCAATTTAGGGGTAAGTGAAAAGGCTTCAATGTCTACCCACGCTGGGACTGGGAAGTAATAAAGTAATACATTATGCTGCGTAATTGGGCGGCCCAGTAATACCACTGGAAGTTTGAGTCCTCCTCTGTCATACGGTAAGTATAATAACGTCAAACGTAGCCTGTGTCGTCTATTGTTCCAAATGAAATTCTAACATGTTTTCCTCAATTTAGTGAAATGCGATAGTGGCAGGTAAAGGTATGTTTTGAAACAGGTACAATAGTTTTGGAAGGATATTCATTTTCAGTATATTTATTCGCCCTATTAAAGAAATTGGCATATTAGACCATCTTTCCAGTGATTTATAAATTGATTCAAGAGCAGGATCATAATTGGTTTTTACAATTGTTCCCACATCAGGCACTATATGTATACCTAGGTAGGTAAAAGAGTCTGTTGAGTTGAATGAGGACACATGGTCCATAGGATTGCATCTTTATTTTCCATTCAATAACATTATGGAGGATTTTGCATTATTCACCTTATAACCTGCAAATAATCCAAACGTCTTAATTACATTTAGTAAAGCTGGAATTGAATTAGCTAAATCTGTGAGGAACAAAATGACGTTGTCCGCGAAAAGAGCTATGCGATGTTCTAGCTGTCCCAACCCGACACCTGAAATATTCTTGTGTGTCCTGACTGCTATGGCGAAGGGTTCTATGGCGAGTGTAAATAGGAGGGGGGACAAAGGGCACCCCTCTCTGACCCCCCTATTAATATTAAATGGTTGAGAAATAAAATTGTTAGTCAGAATTTCAGCTGTGGGTTGAGTGTACAATAACCTTACCCAATTACAGAAAGCATTCCCAAATCCAAAACGGTCTAGTGTTGCAAATAGAAAAGGCCATTCTATTCTAAAAAAAAACGCCTTTTCGGCATCGACTGATAGCAGAGCAGTGTCTGGCGCGTCTTTCCTCTCGTGAAGTATATTTAACACTGTCCGTACGTTATGAAAGCCTTGTCTCCCTTTAACAAATCCGTTTTGATCCATATCTATAATGACAGGGAGAACAGACTCCAATCTACGTGCTAATACTTTGCAGAGAATTTTAATGTCCGAATTTAGAAGTGAGATCGGACGGAAAGATTGGCATTCATGGGCTGGTTTGTTTGCTTTTAAAATTAAAATGATCATGGCACCTCTCAATGAGGGAGGGAGTGACCCGTTTGTATAGGATTCCTGAAGCATTTCTATAATTGGAGTTAAAAGTTTCCTCTTGAATTTCTTATGAATATCGATTGGTAATCCATCAGGACCAGCTGCTTTGCCGGCATTCATGGCATCAATTGCTTCTATAATTTCCTCCGTTGTCAAATCAGAGATTTTTTCTTCATTTTTTCACTTGGGAATTTTAAATTATCCGAAAATGAAGTTTGAGCGTCCGAATTAGGCGGATATTCTGAGGAGTATAACGTTTCATAGAATTGTCTAAAGGTAACATTTATTTCTTCAGGATCCACAGTCACATCTACCTTAGAATTTTCGATTGCATTAATAGCTCTGATTGTAGCTGTTTCATTCTCGAGGCCAGGAGTCTACCTGGTTTTTCTCCCTGATCATACAAATTATGTTTAAGCTTCAACAAGCTATTCGCTGCCCTCTCAACAGATATTTGATTCTATTCAGCCTTAAGAAGTAATAGTTCCTGATGTGGGTTTTCTGAGATATCCATAAACTTGTCTTTCTCTAGCACTTTAATTTAATTTTATAATCCAGCTCTTCCAGTTTTTGACGGATACGTTTTAATTTAGGAGACGTAAAATGTATAATCTGTCCTCTCAAGAAGGCTTTAAAAGCTTCCCATCTGATACAAGCCGAGGTCAGACTTGTGTTCCTTTCAAAAAACATATCTATTTGTTTCCCAATAAAGTCTATAAAAGCCGGGTCCTGTAGCCAGTTTATATGAAAACGCCATCTCGGAGGGCTATTAACCAGTTTAGAATCTACATATGTAAAAGATATCGGGGCATGATCAGATAACACTATGGCATCATAGTTGCAGTCTTTAATTTTATATCTTATCTGTATTGATATTAGAAAGTAATCTATCCGTGAATAGGTTTTATGTGTGCTAGAGTGACAAGAATATTCTATATTGTTTGGGTTCAGTTCCCGCCAGATTTCTGATAAGCTCAAATCCTTCATAAAATGTAATATAGATTTTCTAGCTCTAATATGGGACGTGTCCGATCCAGTAGATTTGTCTATTTGTGGGTTCAGGGCCACATTCAAATCGCCTCCTACAATGAAATTACCTGGGATCGTTGATAAGGTCAAGAATAAATGATCAAAAAATGCAGGGTCGTCCTCGTTGGGGCCGTAAACATTCACTAAATTAAGTTTCTCGTACAGTAATATGCCCTGAAGTATAATGTACCTGCCCTTGGGATCAATTATTGAATTTACTACTTGAAATGGGATTGATTTGTGAATTAGGATTAAAACTCCTCTGGCA